TGAAAAGAAATGTTAGAACTCTTAAGGTTTTACCACCAGATGAGAGGGAACATAATTGTAGCAGAGTCTGTCAGTGACCCACCTATATCCCCTGACACTTACCAGTTCAGCACACAAAGACCTGACTTCCAAATGCCAACACCTGCATTTCTTTGACCCAGGGTTTTGTTGTTGCTTGAGCCTGCTTTGTCACCCAAGTGGCAGAAGAAAAGGGTGAGGGATTTGACACAACCAGATCAGCCTTCACTTAGTAACTGAAGACCTGCTGTACAAATACACCAGTTTCCTCACCTCTCAAATTAACTCAAGCATGTATTTTACAATGGCTCCCCAAGTTTCTCATGGAATAATTAAGCTCCAGTCTCTCACAATAGTAAACTGCTTGATAAGACACTCTTTATTAGCTTTCAAATCAGTACCTTATTATGTACAGACACTTTATATTTAATGTTTCATCTAATTATCTGCAGAACTCTTTAAGGTAGATCAAAGAGGAATCTGATTCAAAGGTTTAAGAATAATATTAACCTCAGGGCACCCAGCTTGCTTAGTCAGAAGAACATGTGACTCTTGATCTCATACCAGTGAGTTCAAGCCCCAGACTGGATATAGAGATTACTTAAAAAAAAAATAAAAAATATTAAAAAAATAATAATAATATTAATCTTTGCTCAGGGTCACAGAGCAAGCCATGCATGACTCTAACACAAGAAGGTCCAAAACCTGTGCTGCTTCACCAAAGGAACAGACACTGGGGGTGGTTCTGTTCTTATTATAGTATAAGGATTATTATCTCAAACCAACAAAAACCCTAAAATTCTACTTCCTTTCCAAAGGAAAATGGCTTTAAAAATTTTTTTCTAACGTACACTAGTCTCTCAACCACAAGTTATTCTTTGAGATAATTAGTAATGGCATTATGAATTAATCCATTGCCTATATTTTTGGAGGGAAAAGGGGCAAGTCAAATATATATTTAAAATAACAATGGTGGGGTGCCTGGGCGGCTCAGTCGTTGAGCAACTGCCTTCGGCTCAGGTCAGGATCCTGGGGTCCTGGGATCAAGCCCCACATCGGGCTCCCTGCTTCATGGGAAGCCTGCTTCTCCCTCTCCCACTCCCCCTGCTTGTGTTCCCTCTCTCGCTGTGTCTCTCTCTGTCAAATAAATAAATAAAATCTTAAAAAAAAAAATTTAAACTTAAAAAAAGCATTTATAATAATATAATCTAAGATTTTTAAGATAAATATAATACATTTTACTTACCAATTTTTAAAAGTTACAAATGTTAAGTATTATAATAAAATAGTTACTTTTAAAGGCCTTTTGTCATGTTGTATTTCATTCATTCATTCATTCATTCTATACATACTCAATGCTGGTTCTAAGGTGTATAAGATACATTTTTTTTTTTTTAAGATTTTATTTATTTATTTGAAACACAGAGAGAGAGCACAAGTAGGCAGAGTGGCATGCAGAAGGAGAGGGAGAAGCAGGCTCTCCGCTGAGCAGGGAGCCTGATGCGGGGCTCGATCCCACGAGCCTGGGATCATGACCTGAGCTGAAGGCAGTCGCTTAACCAACTGAGCCACCCAGGAGCCCCTATAAGATACTGTGGCCAGTTTAGTACTAGAGACAAAGGAAGAAAGTGGGGGAAATAAAGTAAAAATAAACTACAGAACGGAAGAAGAAAAGATAAACATATATGAAGAGAAATTTCATAGATTGCCAACCACAATTTTTTTATCTTCAAAACTGCATATTCAAATACAGAAAAATTCATTTAGCCAACATATACCAAAAAAAAAAAAAAAACCACTAAAAAGTAGACAATGCTAGGCAGTGGGTATACAATGACAGAAAAAGTGGTATTTGCTCTTAAGTTACTTAAAATTAAGTTGAAGTCAACTGTAGTATTTGCCATTGTAGACCTTATAATTAAATTGAGAAGTCTATTCATATTCAGTAGGTATAAAAAAAATTTAATTGTCTTAGCACTCACTTAAAAATTTAGGTCCACAAAATGCCTATTTTTACCTATTTTACATTTAAGGTTTAATTCTGAACTTCATTCATTAAAAATATTCATCTAGCGATGCCTGGGTGGCTCAGCTGGTTAAGCAGCTGCCTCTGACTCAAGTCATGATCCCAGGATCCTGGGACTGAGTCCCACATCGGGGTCCCCACTCATCAGGGAGCCTGCTTCTTCCCCTGCCTGCCACTCCTCCTGCTTGTGCTCTCTCTCTCTCTAATAAATAAAATCTTTAAGATAAATAAATAAAAATATTCATCTACATTTGAAAAATCAATTTCCAGAAATGTAAAGAAAAATAAACTTAAAACCTTGTATCAGAATAAATGTATTAAATTATTGAATGAACTTAAACTGAAACAGAACTAATTCCAGTTTAAAAAAACAGAAACCATTTTTTACATTTACATCAAAAGATACAAATACTTAAAAGTTGTGTTATTCTCAAAATTCGGTAAATATCAAAACTAATAAAATGTTGAGAAACAATCTTTTCCACAAGAAATCTATTCACATTAGTAAAAATATTCAAAACAGTTAATATCCAATTTTGCAGGAGGTATATAAAATCAAGAAATGCAAACAGAGTTCAAATAGCAAAAAACAACAAAAACCTAAACAATTATCAAATAATTCAGTGAACTAAAGAATTCAAATAATTATTAGATGAATTTTGTATTACTGATTTGATCAGATGAGTATAACCTGGGAATCTAGAACATAAATATGAGCTTTAATAACCTAATATTAAATGGTCAATAATGCAAGATGCTAAAAGTATATATTATATCTTAATATTAAACTTATTAGATTCATTATTTTCCTAAAATGCATGTCTGGTGTTCCTGAGCCTTCCAACTGATTACAAAAAAAAGAAAGAATGAGAAAGAAACTTTCAAAGCCTGAACCCAATTTTTTTCCAGACTACTTTACGTCAATTTTCATCAATAAACTGGTGAAGCTGACAAAAAACGAATATTGCTTGATGCTTTGTATAAAAATATTTTTAATAGTTTGAATCTCCCTATTTGTGTATGTTTTATATAAATGTCTAAAATTAGTGTTCTCTGACTAAATTAAAGGAGTAAATGCAAATCTTAAAAGACCAATCAGTAATTATATGCTTGGTATATAAGATTTTTTTTTTTTTTAAGGTTTAAAATGTGGTTTCCATCCTTACTAGGTGTTGGGTTATTAAGACTAATAGGTATATTAGCAAGTCACATAGGACAAAATATGATTTAATGATAAATTGTATGGCAGATTAAGTACTACAGGAAATCAATGAAAGAAAATCCTAATGAAGGTCAAAATAGTCTAGGAATACATGATTTTCTGATTTTTGTTTCTAGCTTAAAAGAGTCAAACCTGCCGATTAGCTGTCCACAACAACGAAAGGTAAATAATTTACTAAATTTATCTGCTAAATTTTATTAAATTAAATTTCTTCAAAAGCATTAAAAATATAAAAATTGATAAATTTCTGGACTTCTTTCAGAGCACATGTGCTTAATAATTCTTGTGGCTATAAGCATCAATGAATTCTAGGTTGATAAAGTTGCATGGCCCAATAGCAAGAACACTGGTTTGAAGTCTTCCACACATGGACAATAATCCTAGCTCCATCAATTATTTGGCTTTTTGACCATGGGCAAGTTACTTAACCATGCAAAAGACTATTTCTTCTTAAATAAGGATAACAACAATCACCTCCCATGGTTGTTGAAAGGATTAAATATCTTATGTAAATATCACAATGCCAGTCAGAAAAAAATATGTGCTCAATATTAGCTCCCACATTCAAACACATTTCAAACATAGTGATAACAGAATACCAAAAGACTGGAATACCCACTTTGTTTTACATTTTATTCTTTACCACAGAAATTGATATACTGACCTTCTATTTATTATAAAAATTAGTGTGTTCAGCTTCTAATTCTGTAATAATTCTCTCATCTTTGACAATTTGATAAAAATGATGGACTTTTTCCTCCCAAAATATATACACAGTATTTTGCATCAAGTTAGGGACATTAACAGATTCCCCAAAGCTAGATTAAAAACTATGTTCTATCTGGCTATTTAAAAAAACTTAATTCAAATTAAATAAAATTTAAAAATTCAGTTCCTCAGAGACACTGGCCACATTTCAAGGGCTGAATAGACACGTGAGTCTGTTTGATAACACAGATACAGAACATTTTTATCATCTCAGAAAACTTCTATCAGATAAAGTTATTCTGGAGTATTAACACAATGTGATACACAAAACTACTTTACCTCTGTTTTATTTTGTTTTGTTTGAAGTATATTCTCCAGAGAGTAGAGACTGAATATTTTGCCCACAACCGAATCCCCAACATCCGGCACATAATAAGCATTCAATAGGTATCTAACAGCTGACATTATAATTTTGTTTTGGTTATACTAATCTAGCAAAAATTGACTAAGTTGGTAAAGACCAGTGCTGAAAGGTATGAACTCAATGAGTATATAAATACCATACTTAAAGGGAAAAAAAAAAAAGAGCCAATCAACTTAGATATCCTCTCAACTGATAACTCCTAAAGCCTAAAGCCAACGTGGGCTCCCCATGTGCAGACTAAATTTTTTTAATTTTGGCTATACATTTTGGCTAAAACACTTAAGCAAAATATTAAGCCTTGTCCATAGCCTATTCTATTTAAGAATGGGAGAAATGCTTACTTCTAGCTAAAGAGCTTTCATTATCCCTTTATGGTTTTTCCTAGATAGAGCAGTTGAATAACTTATTTTTAAATAGTATGTATACATTCACGCACAGTAGTTTTAACAAAATATTTTAAAAATTCACCAAAGTTTTATACCTTAAAGATTATGGCACTAAAATTTTAGAAAATCTACTTCCTTTTAATGTATAATGAAATCAAGACAAAACTGCTGCTATATACAGAACAGTAAAAGGTCTAATAATAATTTTGCACTTACACTGCCACATTTTTTCTAACGGTATATTCATCCAAATCGTCATCAGAGCTGCTATCAGTTGCATCAGAATCCAGACCTTCTTCAACATGAGACAACAGCCCTGTAGCAGACAGTGCAAATCTTTGGATTTCTGCAGCTGTACACCGTGCAAAGCCATTTTTTGTATCACTCCACAATTTAGTCTCTGCAGTCAACATGTTGACTTCTGGCTTAATTTCAGTGTATTTAGGTAAACTGCTATCCAAAACTGTGGTAGGTTCATGAAAGATCTTCATTTGAGGGAGTTGATGTTTCAGAGAAAATTTCATTTGTTGACCATAGTGCTTAACAACATGCTTTGCCAGAAGCATCTGTAAATGTTTCTGAGTTCTTCTAGCCTGGCTAAGTAACATTTTCTGTTTGCTTACACAATGAAGTAAACGAGCATTCACTTCCTCCTCTTTTTCAGCAGCTGAGAAACTAATAGGCACATTTGAGTGGCCAGGCCCAATTTTCTTTTGAGCACAGTGCAATAAGCCCTTTTTAATTTCAGCATCAGTAACTTTATCCAAAAGTGCACTCTTTTGGTACCATTTGCAGTTTTGCAGTTGTAGTTTATCTACATTAGTGTCTTTGGTTATATTTGAATCCAAAATAATTTGTACATCTGTCATGCACTGGCTTGTGCTATCTGACAGAAGTTCCTTTTTGATGAACTCTTCAGAATGAGAATGACAGATTTTACTAAGCTGAATATTGCTGCCATTACACAGTAGGTTTTTCAGCTTATTACAATTGGGTTCCCCTAATTTCCTTTGTTTGTAATTCTCACTGTATTTATTTAATGTAGAATTAGAACTCATTAAAAGAACTGTCTGATAATGTTTTGAAGACTGAGAGGAGCCAAAATGTTTTAAATTCACAAAGTTAGTGTTAAGAGTAGGTTCAGGAGTTGGAAATCCCAGCATCTGAGACAAAGTGTCTCCCTTGAGCTTTTCATCTACAGTTCTTGGACTTTCCATGCATAGCATCTTGTCAGACTCCATGGTACTTGGTAAAGATGAAAAGCAGATACCCTTTGTTGCTGCCTCCCTCAGAGCTGGGGTCATGGCGAATCCTGCAGATAATTACTGGAAACCTAAAATAATGTAAAAATAAATGATCAAATATCTAGGAAAAAGGCTCATGCTTACACGTTTACTAAGGGCAACATTTTCAATGCTTCTGATTAAAATGTGAATGGAACCAAACTCCTCCTTTATTTCCCAACTCCTAACAATATCTCTGTTCTTTCTTAATTCATAAGGAATTCAACAAAGACTAAACTCTTCTTTACTCTGACTGTGGGCCCAATACCAAAAACTCCAATTAAGGTTGCACACTACCTAGCCCAGTAAGTATTAGACAAATACTTGTGAATGTACCTCAACTGCACTTCAAGTTTTTTTGTGGGTTTTTTTTGACAATGTTTAGTGAAAGGCAAAAGAAAAAAATTCCAACCTGGAATCTGGGAATTATATTTGAAAATGTGACTCAATCCCATACTTTTAGCCAAAGTAAGAACTACTTATCTTTATAAAATATAAGCTGCTCAAAACCTCCATCTATCTCTCAAATTTCACAATCTGAACAGTATAAATATTAACTAAAATATGCTAAATAATGTCAGAAGATGTAACTGAACTACAAGCAAAAAAGTATAATTTCACAACTATTAAAAATAATGATAGCGAAAACTTGCTTAATCTTCAATGTGCAAAAATTTTTTGTGAAAAAGTATCTGCAATATTTTTTTCCCTTTTCACAAACAGATAATCATAAGTTATCATTACAAAAGCTGTTACTCCTGCCTGGAAAATAGTGGGGACTGTAACAGATGACTGCTAAAAATCCCATAATTAAACAAATTTCATTGTATCTTATCAAAAGAAAAAGTGTAAAACCATACAGTCTGATTCATTGAAAAAGTTAATCCTCTATCACTGAAAATTATGAAGACTAAATAGTGAAAAAAAATTTTATACCATTAAAAATTAGGAGTTTTGTAAGATACTCTGGAATGATACTCCATAATTTTTGTTTCAATACATGATTGTTAATAGTCATTTAAATGGCCATACTCCCATACTGTATGTCCCAGGTGCTAACTGTAACTCTATAACCTTCATTTTTATGTGAAAACACAAAACCAAAAGGAGATTCTTTACAAAGACTATCAAGAATGATAAAAGGAATAAAAGGCACAAAGGCTCTAATGCAGTTACAAAAAAAATACACAGGGTTAAAAGCAAGTTATAGACTAGGAGAAGACTTAGGCAATATATATATAATAAAAAAGAATTCATACCCAGAATACATAAAGAACTCCTACAAATGAGCAAACTGGTCAGACACTTCACAGATGACATCCAAAAGATCATTAAACATACAATCAATCTTACTAGTAATGAAGGAATTATAGATTAATAAAGCAAAAGACCAGTTTTCCAATCACTAAATTGAAAATAATGTTTTAGGGGCACCTGGGTGGCTCAGTTGGTTAAGCATCTGCCTGTTTAAGCAATCATGGCACAGGTCATGATTTTGGGGTCCTGGGATCGAGCCCTGCATTGGACTCCCTGCTCAGTGGGGAGTCTGCTTCTCCCTCTCCCTCTCCACCCCACTCATGCTCTCTCTCCTCTCAAATAAATAAAATCTTTTTTAAAAAATAAAAGAAAAAGAAAAGAATGTTCTAAGTCTGAAATATCACTTATGACAAGATTTCCCACATCTATTTGGACTATAAGTTGATTCAGGAATTTGACAATAATGTAGAAAATGTATTTGTCATAGGTGCACAAGAAAGCATTGTAACAGCAAACTATTCTTTCAAAGCAATCTAGATATCTAACAATAAGAAAATGGAAAATAAAACATGATGGAATACTATACAGCAGTTAAAAAGAATGACCTAAATCTAAATATACAAATACGGACAAACCTCAAAAAGAATATAAAGGTTTTTTTTAATGGTACAGTATGCTACCAAATAAATAAAATACAAACACAAGCTCTCTTTGCTCCATCTACTGTGAGAATGAAGACCATTCTCAGCAGACTATCAACATTCCAGAAAATGTCAACATCACTCTGAAGGGATGCACTGTTATTGTGAAGCGTCCCAGAGCATCAATGTAGGACTCAATCTCAGGGCGCCCGGTTGGCTCAGTCAGTTAAGTGTCTGCCTTTGGCTCAGGTCATGATCTCCAGGTCCTAGGATCGAGCACCACATCGGGCTCCCTGCTCAGCAGGGAGTCTGCTTCTCTCTCTCCCTTTGTCCCTCCCCACTGCTCGTTCTCTCTCAAATAAACAAAATCTTTTAAAAAATTAAAAAAAAAAAAACTCAATCTCCTTGGAAAGAAAAAGAAGAGGTTCCAAGATGACAAATGGTGGGGAAACAGAAAAGAACTGGCAATGGTTCACACTATCTATAGTCATGTACAGAACATGACCAAGGGCATTACACTGAACTTCCATCACAAGACGAAGTCTGTGTATGCCCACTTCCCCATCAATATTGTTATTCAGAAGAATGGTTCTCCTGTCGAAATCGAAAATTTCTTGGAAGAAAAATATATCCTCAGGGTTTGGATGATGCCAGGTGTTGCTTGTTCAGTATCTCAAGTCCAGAAAGATGAGTTCATTCTTGAAGAAAGTGACACTGAACTTGTATCAAACTCAGCTGCTTTGATTCAGCAAGCTACAATAGTTAAAAACAAAGACATCAGAAAATTGTTGGATGTTTTCTATGCTTCTGAAAAAGGAACAATTCAGGCTGATGAATAAGATCGAAGTTGTCCAGCTACAGAAACAGCAAGATACCAGATGATTTTTCAGACTTATTTGTGATATTTCAAAGATTCAATAAAAGCTGAATAATTTGGGGGGAAAAAAATACAAACACAAGACCACACCACATAAATGTGTGTGTGTGTTTTTACAAGAATAAAAAATGAACCAGAAAAATACCCACCAAATCTGTAACAGTAGTTGCACATCAGGTAAGTTCCATGAAACAGAACTAAGAGTGATGGTTTAAGAGGAGCTGAGTTTCAACTACAAACTTTATTACCTGGGGGAAAAAGACTTAAATGCAAAATGAACAAATGTTAATGGTTATTAATTCTGTGTGATAAAAATACAGATGTTTGGGGGTGCCTCACTGGCTCAATCAGTAAAGCATGCAACTCTTGCTCTCAAGGTCATGTGTTCAAGCCCCATTATGGGCATAGAACTGACTATAAAGAAATGTTTGCCTTTTTTATACTTTACTGTGTAATGTCTAAAAAAAAAGTAGAGATTTCCATATAATTCTCTCCTCAAAGTCTGTATATCTCAAAGTTTTCTAATTTTATGAGAAATATTCTATTATCTTCTATTCAATAAACATCTACAATAGTATTTAGATATCCACACTGCTTAAACTGTGTTCACAGATGAGGGAGGTATATTCAAAACATACTATATCCCCTCCCTACCCACCTTCTCTCTCTCAAAAATTTGAACAAGGTGCTAGGGACATATTCAAAATGACTAACAGCAGAGGCAGAAGATAAAATACCATGAGGCAGTAGAGTTCATCTCAGGCCCTGGATAAACTAAATATAAGGGAAAACTAAAAATAAGATGCAAAAATAAATAAATAAAGATTAATAGTTAAGAACTATAATTGGTAGCAAAAAAAATGTACATTTAGACTGCCTTAGGGGCATTTATGGTAGAGAACTAGAATAAAACACACACACAAAAATTCTGGTGAGATCTCTAGGGTATACTTGGTACAACAGGCAGTTTATAAAATGATCTTAATAATTCCCATATCCTGGTTATTCATGCCCTTGTGTAATCCTTTCAAGTATGGACTGGATTTGCTGACCTGCTTCTAGCAAACAGAATTCACGAGAGGTGATGGGATATCACTTCTGAGATTAGGTTCCATCTTGTCACCCTCTCTCACTCTGGGATGCCAGCTGCCATGCTGTGAACTGGAAGACCCACACAGCAAAGAACTCATGTGTGCAGCCAACAGACAGCAACTACCTAAAACCTGCCAAAAGTTATGTGAGCAGTCTGAGAAGCAGATCCTTCCCCAGTCAAGCCTTCAGATGACAGAAGCCCCAGCCAACACACTGATTGCAACCTCGTGTGAAATCTCGAGCCAGAAGCACGCAACTGAGCCATGCTTAGACTCCTGACCCATAGAAACTGTGAAATAAAGACATTAAATTGGGGGCTAATATGTTACATAGCAATAGATAACTAGTACACTAGGATATGAAGACTTTGGGTTCTAGTCTCTAGAAAGCCCATCCATTCCACAGTTCCAATTCTAGGATTTCCATGAAGTTCCTCTATATTATATTCCCAAGTGTATCCTTATAAAAATCTCAGCCTGAAAGTCTTTCTACATTGCAACCAAAAGAAAATCATGAAAATAGATGTCTCCTATAAATAAAAGATTAAATTATGTTCATAGTCTTTATTTTACATGATGTATCATGGTGATTGATTTGCAAATACTGAACCACCCTTGTATCCTTGGAATAAATCCCGCTTAATGTTTAGTTTTATCATTAAACATAAGTGCATTATCCCAATTTTTAAAATTATTTAAATATGTGATCATTACATATAACAGTGTATCCTAATTGGTTATTCTAAACTCTACCATTTCTGACTTCCTCCATATTACATAAACTACACTTACCACTAACATTTCCAAAAATCTGTGAAAGCTTGGATTTTCGACTATTTTGTTAACAACTACAGGCATCCCTCATTTTATTGCACTTCACTTTATTGCACTTAGCAGATAGTATGGTTTTTTTTCTTTTGCAAATTGAATGTTTGTGGCAACCCTGCATCAAGCAAGTCTATTGATGCTGTTTTTCCAACAGCATATGCTCACTTCATGTCTCTGTGTCACATTTTCGTAACTCTCACAATACTTCAAACTTTTTCATTATTATTATATTTGTAATGGTGATTTTGATTAGCAATTATGATTCACCAAAAGCTCAGATGACAGTTAAGAACAAACTATTTTTTAATTAAGGTATGTACAGTTGACCCTTCAACAATGCAGGGGTTGGGATGTCAACCACCAACACTGTTGAAAATCCACGTATAACTCTAAGTCCTCCAAAACTTGACTAGAAGCCTTACCAATATAAACAGTCAAATAACACATATTTTGTGTTATATTAGTGTATTCTTACACTAAAGCTAGAGAAAAGAAAATGTTAAAATCCTAAGAGAAAACACATTTACAGCACTGTATTTATTGAAAAAAAAAAATCCATGTATAAGTGGACGCAGAGGGTTCAAACCTATGTTGTTCAAAAGTCAACTGTATATTGTTTTTTCAGACATAATAGGTGACATATGATCTTAATAGGTGAAGAAAAAGCATTTGACAAAATCTAATATTCATCCATGAGTAGGAAAAAACCCTCAGATTAGGAAAAGAAAGAAAACTGCTTAAAGAGCATCTACACAAAAGCCTACAGATCACTTTACAATTAATGATGAAAGACTGATGCCTTTGCCCGATGACTGGTAATGAGACAAGGTGTCTGTTCTCACCACTCCTATTCATCATCATACTGAGGTCCTAGCCGATGGAATAGATGAAGAAAAAAGAAATAAAAAGCATACAGATTGGAAAGGAAAAAGTAAAATTGTTTCTATTCACAGATGAAATTATTTTCTACATGGAAAATCCCAAGGGATCTATTAAAGAAAAAAAAGTTTCTAGATCTAATGACTTTAAAGGTAGCAGATATAAGGTCAAGATACAAACATCATTTGTATTTCTAAAATGAAAAACTGGGTGACAAAAAGCAAGGAACACCCTAAATGGAGTGATATGCTCTGTTCATGGATTGCTGAATATTGTTTCAATGTTAATTCTTTTAAAAAAACTTATCTATAGATTCAACACAATCCCAATCAAAATCTTGGTAGAATTTTCTGCTGATATCAAAAGCTGATTCAAAAATTCACATGGAGGGACACCTGGGTGGCTCAGCCTGTAAAGCGTCTGCCTTCGGCTCAGGTCATGATCCCAGGCTCCTGGGATGGAGTCCCGTATTGGGCTCCTTGTTCAGCAGGGAACCTGCTTCTCCCTCTGCCTGCCACTCCCCCTGCTTGTGCTATTCTCTCTCTTTCTGACAAATAAATAAAATCTTTAAAAAAAAAATTCATATGGAAATGGCAAGGAACTAGAAAACAAAACAAGAAAAAGAACAAAGCTGAAGGACTCAAACTACCTATCTACTTAGTCAAAATAAATGTGGCATTGGTAAAAGAATGAACACAAAATCAATAGGATAGAAAGCTCCAAAACAAACCAGCACACATATGGTCAACTGATTTTTGACAAAGATGTAATGGCAATTCAATGTAAAAAGACTAACTTTAAACAAATGGTTCTGGAACAATAAGACATCCATATGCAAAACACTGAAACTTAACTCATATCTCATAAGATATACCTATATAAAAACAGTCACATCCAACAGAATGGATCATAGACCTAAAAGTTAAACTTAAAACCATAAAACTTCTAGAAAAATACACAGAAAAAAATCATTATGGGTTAGACAAAGATTTTTTTAGATAGGACAACAAAAACATTATTCATAAAACTGAACTTCCTCAAAATTAAATACTAAACATAAGAAACTAAAATATAACAATTTATGCAGAAAATACATGTTCAAGTTAGTAGAAATCAAATGTGCATACTCCTCAAAGATAATAATTTTACCATTCAGGTTAACTCTACATAATGGCTTCAACCATTACACAGTTTTAAACTGTAGTTATCTTCAATCACTTACTATTTCATTTTTATGCATAACAGACAAATGGTTAGAGGCAGAATACATAAGGAATACTGATTTAGAGCATAAAATAATGAATTCTGCAAATTCACCTCAATAGTAAGCTAAACAAGTTTTGGTGACTGATGTTGATTTGCCTCAAAAGTCCATGTTCTTGAGTTTTCAGGCTATGGGTGTCAGTCAAGTGTTCGACATACTGTAGCTTTTTTCTCCTTGGAAATACCTATTATAGGATGTGGTGATGTAGACTGTAAAACTGCAATTTTCTTGCAACTATTTTGGAACGATATCTATTTCTAATGTTTGTTGTACAGAGTTGTAATGACGATTGTTTTCCTTTTTTAAGTAAAAAAATAGCATAAAAAATTTTAAAGGCTTACAAATACCAGATATAAAAAATGTCAACACATTAAAAAAAATTAGTCCCGTTAGTTCTATAAAGTGTATTCCACATGATCACAATTATTTTATAGCACTTCCAGTATTTCAGAAGCCAATTTAAAAAAACAAGACAGTAAAAATATCTAGCTACAAGTAAAGTCATCTGGTTTTCATTTGAGTATAAAGACTATCCACACCACAACATGTTATTTATAGAGAAGTGCTTGTGAATGGCAGCTTAAAACCTATTTCATCTTTTAAAAACAAAACAAAATGAAAACTTTCCAAAAATTACAGAAATAAGTTTAAAAAGAGACAAACTGACTTTCAAAAAGCAGAAAATGAAGAAACGGCCAACCTTGAGTCATGTAGTTTTGTCTATTTTTGGTAGGAGATAGATTTTTAACCTCCATTTAATATATATTCAATATAAAACCAAACATTCAACAATTCAGTTAATACATATTTATTGAGCGAATGTAACAAACACCATCTTAGTTACCAGAAAGATGACAGTGAACATCAAAGATAAGGTTTCCATTCTCACAGAGCTTACATTCTAGCAAATGGTAGATAGAATAAACAGACAAAAAAATACCAAGTAAATAAGGGTTCCCTAGTGTTCTTATAAAAAAACTAAACAGTGATACAGCATGTCAACATTGGGACAGGAGTTACTTTAGATTTGTAAATGAACGAAGGCCTTGGTGTTGGTGATTATCTGCTCTGAGATCTGAAATGACAATAACAAACCAACCAAGACTTGGGAGTAAGAGCCTTCCAAGAAAAAAAGCCAACTAATAAAATGTTTTCAAACAGGAATAATTTTGGTGTGTTTGTGGAACAAAAATAACAAATATATCTAGAACATAATGAGCCAGAGAGACTAAGAGGAAATAAGATCAGAGAGGCAAATGGTTTGCCAAGACATTTTATGTAAGTCAAAGGAAAACCACTAAAGGTATTTGGATAAGATAGTAACATGATCTAATTCACATTATTTTTAAAAAACTCCTCTAGCTGTTCTACAAAGAAAAAGTTTATATAGGAGAAAGAATGGAAATGGCTTCCAAGAAGAGAAGCACGGAGACCAATTAAAAAGCTTCTTGAAGTAATCTAAACAAGAGATAGTACCAGTGGCTTGGGATTAGTGAGGTAGTACTAGAAATTAAAATGGATGAATCTAAGATAGTTTCAAGGTAGAACTGACAAAACTTTTGACAGCCAAGATTTTATGGGGCCAAAGGTAAAGGAAGCAATTAATTATGACTCTTAGGTTTTTGGGTTGAGCAACTGAGTTGTCAGTGATGCTATTTTCTGAAATGGAGCAGAATTGAGGAGACAGAAGGTTGAGGGAGAAAAATAAAAAAGTTCTGTTTGGGATATGTTGACTTTGAAGTACCTATTAGCCATACAAGTGGAAGTAGTTAGATAAACAAGTCTAGAGTTCAAGCAAGAATTCATAGAAATACCATTTTTGGGAGTCACTGGTTATAAATAGTATTTAAAGCCAAAGGACCAGAAGAGGTTTTTTGTTATTGTTTTTGTTTTTTAAGATTTATGTATTTATTTTGAGAGAGAGAGAGCATGAGTCGGGGGGAGAGGAAGAGGGAGAGAATCCCAAGCAGATTCCTGGCTGAGTGCAGAACCTGATATGGGGCTCAGTCTCACAGCCCTGAGACCATGAGATCATGAGATCATGAGATCATGACCTGAGCCAAAATCAAGAATACCAGATGCTGAATACAAAAAAGAAGAAATATTTGAAGCAATAACTTCAATTTGAGAATTTCTCCAAATTAATGTCAAACATCAAACCACAGATCCAGAAAGTTCAGAGAACATGAATAAGACAAATGCCAAAAATAAATAGCATATATCACTGGATAAATGAAGCACTGTATTAAAATTGTATTACATAATTTATATACAATTATATACAATAATAGTATACTTACAACAAATAATAGTTCATCTAAAAATCATTTATCACATATTTTCCCCATTAAAATGAAAGCCACATGAAGGCAGGGTTTGAATGTTTTCACTCAGTGCTGTATCCTAGAATACTGTTTGGCACATAACAAGCAGGCCCTTAGTAAATATTTCTTCAATAAATAGCTTCAAGAAATAATAAAATTACACTTGATCCTTAAAAAACATGGGTTTGAATTGTGTGGGTCCACTTACATGTCGATTTTTTTCAATAAACACAGTACTGTAAATGCATTTCCTTTTATGACTTAATCATTCTTTTCTCTAGCTTATTTTATTGTTAAGAATACATAATAAACCGGGCACCTGGGTGGCTCAGTTGGTTAAGCGACTGCCTTCAGCTCAGGTCATGATCCTGGAGTCCCTGGATCGAGTCCCGCATCCGGCTCCCTGCTCAGTGGGGAGTCTGCTTCTCCCTCTGACCCTCCCCCCCCCCTCGTGCTGTCTCTCATTCTCTCTCAAATAAATAAATATCTTTAAAAAAAAAAAAGAATACATAATAAACCTAACATACAAAATATGTGTTAATCAGGTATTTGTGTTATAGGTAAGGCTTCCAGTCAACAGCAGGCTATTAGCTAAGTTTTGGTGGGGGGGG